TCCAAGTATATAAGCAAAAGAAACTTAAAATTCTGTTTTCTTATCTTTTCTTTTACATTTTTTAGGTGATATAAATGGGCCAAAATTTTCATCACAAACTTTTAATATAATCAATGCAAATGAAGTAAAAAATGTAGAAAAATATTTTTTCTCCATTTAAAACCAGAAATAAATATTAGGTAATTTTACTTCAAGGTAAAACTCAGTGAGACTTTTCTTGACTCTTCAATCTTTTTCTTTATTTCCTGTAAATTTTACAAAACATTGCAACATGTCAAATATGTTTTCCATAAATCAGTTATGCTACAACACTACTAAATATTTTAGAAATCAGTTTGTTAAATTTGCTTTCAGTTCATATAATTTCTGAAGAATACCTTAGGAATCTTTAGGGGAACCTCAGCTAAGAATAAAGCCAAAGGGGGAATGAAACTGAATTATGTAAGCAGTGACAACTTAATTGTATAAATTAATCCTTTGAAATAAATAAATACTGTAACATAATACTAGGTGAGTCCAATAGTTAATGACAGATTTAAAAAGCACATAAAGAAGTTAGAATATAACAATTTTCAAATGTAAAATCATGCACTGCTGTGAAATTCTGAGACAGCACAAGCTTTTAAATGTAAATAACTTGAGTTGCTCTTGCTGACCTAGTACACACACCCTTGGCACGCAAAAATTTTTCAATAATAATGGAAAACAGTGCTCTTAAAAAAGCAATATTTTCAGAGAATTTAAGTTTGCCATGGAATAATTTCTGATCCAAATATGCACTAACATGTAAATAACCATGCCTGCACTAGTTGCATTACTTGACCATGTACATAACATATAGCCACCTCCTTTCCCACCCTGTCACTGTGTATCATATAAAATTATTGCCACCAGTCATATTTTCGATAATGAATGAATCATCAAGTGGGTTACATAGTTCTTTTTATTTGCAACTGTAACATTCAAACCAGTTTGAATATGGAGTATTTATTTATTTATTTATTTTTGGATTTTAGGAAGACATAAATGGAAACCGATTAAAATGTTTTCTTCTTTGCAAACAAGTTATATTTCATAGCAACTACATAATGTTATGTATTACAGAAAAAATTTTAACCTATTACTTTATTCATCAGATTAGGCACTTATTGTGAACTGCTTCTAAATTTAAATCTCACCTTAGAATGAAATTTCGAGGGTGTTTCCAAAAATTCTAACCAGCAAATAAAAGTGCAGTGGACACAGCTTAATGTGATAGTTTTTAATGTTATCATTTAAATGTTGTTATCAAGTTGTCAAACTCCCGCCCATTGGTATATATATATATATATATATAATGTAAGAAAGGCAAATTAACTAAACTTAAAAGGACCTGTGAGGTCAAGAATTTTGCGCATTGAGCTGCAAAATTTGAAATAAAATTAAAAAGTAAATTCTTCAAGCTATAGCTTATGAGCTAAAGTGATACTTCGGTTCCTTAGCAAAGTAGTATAAACACAAAGTAAAGATCCAAATGTAATTCAAAATGTAAAAACACAATATGCATGAAATACTAATTAAGAAAATTAGAAAAAGATTAAAGCTTAACTTGATTCAAACTTAAAAGTTAATATGTATGTAGAATAAAGTGTAAGCTATCTCAAAACATATTAGAAAAAAAACTACAAAAACATCATGTTAAAAAACAATAACTACTACAAGCAGCAGTAAATGGAATAATTAGCCTAATTCAAATATCACCATGGACTTTTCAAGGGAAATGCATGGTGAGATTCGAACTCTGCTAAATTCCAAAATGTGCTACGTCAAACAGGACATTGAGACTGATAGCCAAAAATTTTTTTATTAGAAAAGGTCTAAATATTAATTGTATCCGAGTCTCAATTTCCCTGGTTCATTTCCCGACACGTCCGCTGTTAACAAGTATATGAGAAATACTTAATTTGTGCAGGAAAATCTATACAAGAAGCCTGGTAAGGCAAATTTACAGCATTAAAATAAATAGCGAAATTGCTATTAGTCAACATATTCACAAACTTTATGGCTGAACCTTCTTAATCTGAAGGGTTATAGCTTTAAAAAAGCAGTAACAGCAGCAATGTTTTATAAAGAGAATAAAAGATTCATATTGAGTCAGTTTATGACCAAAAAGATAAAATGTAAAAACATACCTGAATTCAAGACTTCTTTCTGCTAGAAGCTGTTTTCAAAAAATGGCAGAAAGATGGGTTGTAAGTAGCAACAGAAAAGAGTGAAAAAAATAAGAATTAAATTCACCAATTGGGTGAGACTACTCCAAGGGGGGGAAACACACGTCAGGAAGCAATGTTCAATGAAACATAACTAACTGGGGGGATCTGAGTCCGAAAATTTTGGGGGGGGTGTAGATGGTAGTTTTGTTTCAACATGGCGTCTGTCCTGCGCAATGTCAATTCATGAATGGTTTGAAAAGGTGAATGCAAAAGGGCCAATTCTTACTCTTGGTAAAATTGGCCAAAAAAAGCAGTTGAAATCAGAAAAATACAGTAATTTGTTAGTTAAAGTCGTAATTCTTCAAGCTAGAGGGCTTTCAAGCTTCTTTGAAACGAAAAGAGCCCATAAAATTTAATAAAAAGGATAGATTTGGCAAGAAAAGGTATTAATTTACATATAATACATATTAAGAATAAGGTTTTCAAGTACTGAGCCAAATGTGCAGAGAAAAAATTTTTTAAGTAGTGAGAGTAAACATTTTTACATTCGATCATTTAAAATGTTCCATTTCAACAAGGAATGTGCTCCAAGTATTAAGATTAAGGTGTTCAGCATCAGTATTTACAGAAACATTATGAACAGTTTGTAAGTAAACTTTTGCATTAAAGGCATTGTGAAGAGTTCATAAAAAAATTTTTTTTTCTCTTTTACTAAATAAAATACTGTGAAAATGCATATTTATATGTTTCTGGTTATATTAAATTAGCTTAATTATATTACAATTTTAAAAGTAAATTTTCTCATCATTTAATATTATCATTCAATTAGCATTATCAAAATAACTGCATAAATGCGATCGCATTAAGCAGTATCTACTGTATATCCTAATAGCTGGCTGCTGTGGAGGTATTTAGAATCTGTGTGAGCATGCCAAGAGATTATTGGAGAAGTTAAATAACCAGAATAAGCCTAATGTTTGTAAATTTTTTGCAGGACTAGTTTCAATGGTTTAAATAAAAAGCAACTTCTTCAGCTGCTAAGTGCAAATGTTAACCAATAATAATTATTCGATGTGTTATTTTAAGTTAAAAATGCCAAGAGATGTTTAGTATTAGAAATCTAAAGAGCTACTTGCAGATAAAGTTGTTTTCTTTAGTCCTTGGTTTTAAAAGAATTCAGCTATAAAGCATTGTTTATACAGTTTGGATACCCATTGTATATGTGTGGAAGTAATATGTTTGTGCAGTTCCAACATGGATTGTTTCCTTTAGGACTATGCATCTCAGAAAGTGCATTGCCTAGGAACAAATTGCTCCGTATCACTGTAATAAGTATCAAACCTATCGCAAAGCAGTACTTTAGCAAGAAATATTCGAAACCGCGATGTTCGAAATAGAGCAGTCCAGATGTGGTCAGTACTATCTTTTTATGGCAATCCTGACATTGAGTTTCTATAGCAATCCTGACCATATGCATACATGATTTGGAGCATAATTTCATTGCCTGTGTATTGTTCATATGTGGAATGTGTTTCTTTGCCTTGTGTTTATTGTTCTATTGTAATTCTAAATTTTATATAATAGAAAACAGCATAAGGTCAGATTTTAGCCCAAAGGGGCAATTTGCCCATAAGGGCTATTAATTTCATTTTGGCATTTTGGGTTGGTTCACTATAAATGGCACTTCTATTTTCAAATTGTTGAAACTTAATATTAGAGCCCTGCATCATATTTAAAGAAATTAAATAATGAAGAATTTGCATGAATGTATGTTATCTTTCTCGTACTGTGAAAAAACAATGGTACGTAGAGACATAAAATTTTGAATAACAGTCCTGCACTTGAATATGAGCACTGAATATGAGCAAGCCCATATATGGGATTTGTTTTATTATCTATTTCACATTTTGTAAAACTTTAAAGAGTTTTTGATTAACAAACTCAACGATTTCAAAGCGAGCAATAGCAACATTGTACGTGTGGGGGGGGGACATTTTTATTTCTAGCATGCGAGACTGTGTATTGGAAATTCTAAAGATATGCTCTTTATATATTTTGTGATTTTGCTGTTGAATTGAATTTTATGGTTTAAGTGTGAAGAACATGATATATAATAAAGGTAACACACAAAGCGTTAAAATAACACCCCTTTGGGCATAGTATAAAACCTGAAAGCTTTCAGATTTTTTTATTGTTCTTTCATCTCTTAAGTGTTAAGGTAATTATCCTCACGTTTATGTATACATATCATAGAGAATCTTTTATGTATACATAGCATAGAGACCAAGTATCAGAAAGGTATTATACAACTCGCAGCAATAAATAATGCAGCCCATAGTATACTTTATTATTTTTTTAAATATTGATCCTATCTTAAAATGAGTATTTTATGAATAAAATTTTGCATATATAAGGTGGATATCATGTTTATATAGCATTTATTATTATCTCTGATTTCACACAACCGTGATAGTTCTTGGAACATGGTATCTGTGGATAAAGGACACTACTATATGCATGCAGTTTTTTACAATAAAGTGTGATATAAGATGATATAACACATAAGATGGTTTTGCCAAAATGTTTGAAATGTATTAATATGTGCTATGCGTTTATGTACAAAATGCTGTAATACTTACATTTAAAAACCAGCATATTTTGCTGCTTTGTTAAATTTTAATTGTGTTTATATTTATTCATTTGTTTCTTAAATTTAATTATTTAAAAATTTTACTGTGCAATATTATTTGGAGTTTTCATTGAAATATATTAGCATGCATATTTCAATTTATTGTAATTTCATTTCAGATGAAAGTGATGTTGTTACAAATTACTTTTCTCGTCGCAGCAAACGTTATGGGCTTTTATCATTTTTTAATTATGCGAAGGAAAGCATTTTGCCACAGAGAGTGAAAAAGGTTTTCTAATTTTCTACAAAATGACTTAAATTGAAATAAATTTGCTTTGATATGAAATGAAATAAATTTGCTTTGATTATTGCATAAATTATGAGATTTTGTGAGTTGATGGATTCTAAATTTGCTGATTTTTTATTGTTTTGTGTAGTTTGTATTACAGTAGAAGGCTAATAATCCACACAGCTTGGGACTTGAGGTTGTGCATATTTTAGAGTTAAAAATAGTTAGATTTAGATTGAAAAAAGCTGGAATACATAAAAACACATTCATAAAATATTTTTTTTGGACATTTTTATGGAGACAATGCATATAATATGTGTAAAATATTTGTAATTTTATGTAAAATGAAAATAAGGATTTTTTAAAACATTTTCAAACTTTTTTTTTTAATCTCAGAATTTTGTTTTAAAACTTAAAAGATATTCTAGTTTGAAGCTTTTGTTTTAAATTATAGAATCATAATTTCTTTATCAATTATATAATTTTACTGTTTCTTTTCATTCTTACTTTAGAATAAAATCACGAGTTTATGTAGAACCTACCATCCTGATATGGCAAAAAGATCTATTTTTAGCTCTTAATAAAATTTTAAATTCTCAAGTACTGTGTTCTTTTTCAATTAAAATAACTCGTGTTTTATCTTGAGCTAGGGGTAGAGTTTTGATAACTTTTGACAAAATATTTACTTGGCAGTGGTTCTGAAAGTGAATAATAAACTTGATTAGCTTGCTTCAATTCTGAAGGAAGGAAATGTATTGCCAGTAATGGCCGCATATTGCCAACAATCACAAAAGCAATTTGTGTACTCCCAACTAAAGCACAGTTATACATAGAGATACATAGCCTATTATTTAAATTCAGACGCTTCTTTTTTTATTAATTTTTTGTTTTTTCTAATCAGTAAGCAGTAGAAAATCTCTTACATGATCGACTTATTCTTTTCCTGTGATGTCAAATACTGCATACTTCTGATTTTTGACTCTAAATTTTTTTAATTCTAATTTAAGAATTAAAAAAATTTGGCTGGTGGATTTTGTCATCTACTGTATTTAATTTTTATGTTCTTGTTTTTTCTTTACTTAGTTGAAGCAGTTGTCTTCAAACTTGGTTTTTGCAAAGTGTGCAAAATGTTCCCTGTTTTTGTCGGGGAAAATGATTATGTAAATTATCGACATGAAAATCTTACTTACTTGTTGTAAAATATTGACATAAGAGTCTTACTCACTTGTGAATGTGATAAACTGTAATTAAAAACAAGTTATTATTTCTGAATTCAAATAATAGCATTTTAAATTAATTTTTGAAATACTCAATGTTAATTAAAATTTTATTTTTCTTGTACTAGCATCATAATGTTTTTAATTAACTATATTAAATAGATTATAAAATATTTTTGTATTATAAGTATTTATTCTGATTAATAATTTCAAAAAACAATCTGCATGATATTTTTTTGTCTTTATTTTTTATGTTTTGCTGAAAGGAATTATGATACATATCTTATTTTTACCCAGTTTCTCATTTTTCTTGATATAAATCATCTGAATATAAGTATAGAATCTTTATGTCATAATTTATTTATAACAGTATTGAAATATTTCTATGGCACCTTTCAAAATTGTCATGTGTTGCAAAATTTAGTGCCTTTAGGCTTTCAAAAATAAATGCTTTTATGAATTTTTTGTTTATCCTGTAATTTAATATATCCATATATTTGAATTTTAACAAATATTCAATTCTGCATGTAGCGTTTTAATTTTTAATTGTTTCTTTTGTTTTCAAAATTGTTATTCAGGGCATTTCCCCCATTGCATATGAATTTAATTTCAGGTACATAAAATGCAAATTGTAATATAAAGTTCTGCAGAAACTACACTTTTAATATGAAGGTTGTTTTAAAAATAACATATTGTAAATTTACCCATAAAGTAGTGTATATTTGAATTGATTCCAGTCTTAGATTAAAGTATATTATTTTGCATTATGCCATTAATTTTAATTTAAATTGTATCAAGTATCTTTGAGTATATTCAGTGCCTTGCCTTTCGAAAACTTGTCAGTATTACATGATAAAATGATAAATTAAGATTGTGTATCTTACCGTGAACACACCTTTTTAGAAGTTCCTTAAATAATTTAACACTTTACTTGGCAAATCTCCCATAACAGTGAATGAAAACACTTGTTACTTTTGAGCAACCATGCCAGATAAAGGGTTCAACAGTTTCATTGTTGTTATATTTTGTATGCGCTTCAAGGCCACAACTGCTCACTCAGTTTTATAGTCGTAACACTTCCTGGTTTTATAGTCGTAAACGTCCTGGTACTGCACTTGATTTTACCCATTTCATTTGTGAATAAAGTCTTTTTTTTACACATTTGTGCTACCATATATCTGATTTTCTTTCTGAGCTTTGAAGTTTTTACATTAATATTTAGACTGCAAGCTTCTTTCCATATTTTATTCTTCTTTTTTATTTTCTTTCTTCCTTATTATAATTAATATTTTTTCGTAATATTATATTTAAATGGTAATATGCTTTTATGTTCAAAAGAGAAATGTAGAAATAAACCTAAAGCTTGTAAAATTAAAACTCATATTGAATGAAGTTTTGATGACTGTAAATATTATTTTACTTTTTAAATTAGGGCCAAACACTTTTATATGATTTTTTATAGATTAAAATTAATTTTCATACTGAACTCTTCAGGTGTTAGACTGATGAGCTCATATTTCTCAGATTACAAGTGTTTTACATTTTTTAAAACTTTTATTCATAAATATGATACATCCAAAAAGCATTCGTTAATATTTTATTTTTAGGTTATAAAAACTCAGTTCCAACAGTTATTTCCTATCAATTTGGTGTGATATTTCTTTACATAGTAGCTTATAAATGTTTCTTTATAATCAGAAGAATATAATTTTGGATTATTCATTATGTTTTGAAAAAATTGTTTGATGAAGATAGCTTGTAATTATTTCCAGTTGTTAGAATAATTCACAGTCCTACCTGTATGTGATTTTATTTTAGTAGTATCAGAGCACACTAAATCGATGTAAAATTAGAAAAGATAAATGGGACTTGACATATCCATGATTGCTAAAGAAACTAGAAGAAAAGACCTTCAACTGTCTGTTCTAAAGAAACAGTATAGTAGTGGAATGTGCATGCGAGCTATAAGGTAATATGCCACTGCCTTAGCTTCTGCACAGTTACATTTATACCATCTGTCAGGATCATCAAATGAAGTTCAGAGCTCAGGTTGTTAACAAAAGATGGAAATGTTCTACCCAAGTGTCTCTTTGTGTTTATGTTACCAGTCTTTCTTCAAAAGGTTAAATGAATTTCAATATTAGAGCATCAGTTTACTTAATTTATCATTCAGAGATTTGCCATCACTGAGCAGTTTGACTGCATATATTTTTTAAATTCACTCCATTTGTGTCTCAATCTTTTCTCGGAATGACCTGTGCACTGTAGTTTATGTATTTTAACATTCTTATAAACTGTAACAAAAGGAAGTAATTACTAATTTGAAGATTCTAGATTTGGTGCAAGTAATGGAGATACTGAAGCTTTAATGGCGTGTTGTCGGAAGGACTAAATTTTGCTTTCATGTCACTGACTTCCATTCTTTCTTTGATTCCACTGTAATTTGCACTACACTTTTAATAAAAATATTTTGCAATTTATGTTTACATCTGCAAAACTTCTGAAAGGGGGAAGTGTCTATTTTTTTTTCCAGTTTGCATACTGTGGAGATAGTGCAGGCATTTTGATAGAGCATTTGAATTGCATTAAAATGATGTTTGATGTCTTAAAAATATATCTTGTCAATGTGTCAAAGATAAATTTTTACAGGGAAATTTGTTTATCTAAGCTATCAACTTGATAATACTTAAAAATGTGTTTAGTAATATATTATGCTTGTGCAGGTGGTACGAGCTTGCTTTGTGAGTAAGTGGCTAGTTGTAATGTTTTGGTGTTAAATCTGTAAATTTTGTACCCTTTTTAAATCTTTTTCTGATGAGTGAAAATGATAAAATTGAGAATTCGCATATTATGTCAAATTTTTGAAAAATTAATGGACGTGTTTAAATGAAATTTGGTGTGAATATACATTTTTAGCAGAGAAAGAGATGTACCATTCAAAAGTTATTTTATTTTTGCATGATTAGCTATAAAGCTCATAGTGCAGGGATGTCCAAAATCTGCATTGTGGGATTGAACTTGAAATGATAATATGGGGTATGGTTCCTGTCACAGCTAAACAAGTCATGCAGCATGACAGCACACTGGACAGGAGAGGCAGCTGAGGAGTCCCTGTGGCAATTGATCCCACTCCTGCAGCAAGGCAGTTTTCAACTCTGGTTGGTTTTCAGAGAGGGATGGCATGATGAAATTGCTGTCCTCAGAACATCTCAGACATAATCTGTAGAGTTAAGGTCACTAGATCTGGCTGGCCAATTCATGCTATGAATATCCTTCCTTTCCAGGTAATCATCGTGCCATATGAGCCGTCTGTGGACAAGCATTGTCTTTCCGTAACAGGAACTCAGGACCAACTGTGCCTCTTGAAAAGTCAAACATAGGACTGTATGCTCTGCTCTTTATATCTTATAGCAGTCAGGGAGCCTTTGTCAAACACATGCAGAGATGTGCTGCCATTCAGCAGAATGCCTGCTCAAACTATTAAAACTCTGCCACCATAATGATTCTTTCCATGGTAGGTATCATATTCCAAGGAAGGAATGGTATCATATTCCAAGCGTTCTTCAGATACAGGTACCATGAGAATCCGTGTCTAGGCAGAATCTTGAAATATCCGCAAAAAGTGCACTACTCCACTGAAGTCTAGTCCAAGGCACATATTGTCTGTGCTATGCTAAATATGCTCTCTTGCGTGCTGCAGTGAGCAGGATGAAAACAGCTGGTCATCTGGCATACAGTTCTATCTTGTGAATCCGTTGGACAACTGTAGACCATAAAACTTAGGATCCTGGGGCAATATGCAGCTCACGTGAGAGCTGTAACAGTCCTTTGTCCCTGAAAGTGCCAAATAATGATCCTCATTCATTGTTGTAGACCTTGTTCAACTTTGGTGAGATCAGATATGGATCCCGTGCCCTGAAACTGTTACCACAAATTATAGATGACTCTGGGCATTACATTGAACTCTATTGGCAACTGGGCTTGTGATTTGCATGCCTTCAATCTACTGTCAATTTCCGATCTCATTCCATCATCCGTACATTCGTGGCTACTCATTTTACCTGATACCTTATAAAATTTATCCAACTCTTGGGAGAAACGCGATAAATGTCGTGATGGAGAACGAGCACACAAATCGCCGAAAGCTCATCAAGAGTGTGTATACCTTCCACAACCGCAGCTGAGCAGACATACACATGCTTGCTTATGTATTCAACTTTGAATATTTGTATAATTCTTTGATGGCATAATGAGTACTTTTGTTTTTCTAGATTTCATAAAAATAGATATAATTTGTAAATTCTCATAATTTTGTACATGAGTGTATTATAAAGTTCCTCAAAAAATTTTAAAAATATATGGCTAAGACTAATTGTACATATGTTTCCTAGTTTATTCTGATTTTAGTTTCAAAAATAGCATATAAATATATATCATATATAAATATATATCGTGAATCAAAACCTAACTGTAATGATATTGTGGAAATATTGATGACGTAGAATGCCTATCCATAATGAAGAGCAACTTGGCAGCTAAGGCAGATTAAATATTTATCTTTATTTTAAAAAACATGTTGCGACCACATACTACTTGGCACACTACTCATGCCTGTTTCAAAATGTTTACATTTTTGATAGCATTGCAGCAAGCAGCAGTTTATCTATGCCAAAGAGCAGAGGGTGACTGGTGTTCAAGATGAAATCTTAATTCAGAATGAGTTAGTTTCAGTTCTCAATGCATTTGATTGGATGATTAATACTGCTGTAAAATTATTATTGGTTGTTAGAGTTTTAGTTCCATTTACATCACCAACAGTATGCAAGAGTCATATGAGTTGGATTACTCTCCAAATAATGCTGTGCTGAAAAAGGGATTACTTTTTTTAGAATAGAGAGGGGAAATTAACAAATTAAGGATTCAGGGGCTATTACTAATTTAAACTATAATTTGTATTTATACATTTTTTATTTTAGATAGATGTATGTGTACATTCACATACACATACATAAGCATGCTTATTGTTTTTATTATGTGTAGTTTATAGGGAAATTTAAACTGGATTTAAGATATCAACTCCTTTAAAAAATTTTTGCTTTCATTAGCTTATTCATTTATACCAACTGAGAAATTTAATTAGAT